TAGTGTCCTCACATGAACGAATGCAAAGACCATGACGGGACTCGAACCAACAGCAAGTAATTTAAAGTTGGTGACCTTAATCACCCGGCCACGGATGCCCCTGTGAGATGTGCTTGAGAAGATATTTCAAAAATATGTCTCACATTTAGATTATACGATCTTATTGTCTGAATTATTATCAATTTCACCTTATAAATGAAAGTTCTTCATTAAATTTAAGACTAAACTAGATCTCTCTCTAATGTAACTTTTTTATTTTGTGATATATATGTATCTGTAATACATATGCAGTGTCTCTTCATTTTGTTTCCCTCTTTATTATTGTACATGTAAGATCTGCTTACTTTGCGTTTTGATGATGTATTGTAATCATTATTTTTGTGGACGAGGAGCCAGTTCAAGTCCGAAAATGTTCTGTTCATAATAATGAATCAATATTCATTCACCTATAAAGCAAACATGGCAAATAATCGTAAATTATATCTTAAATAGAACAATGAATACATTTATATTTCATATCGTAAAACAAACACTTCATTTCCAATAATTATCTGGACCGTATCAACTCTTATATGCACTGAAAAGAAGTATGGAATTTAAGTCCATTTATTTAAAACAAATGCAAAACATTTTCAACAGCTGTAAATAGAGACAGCACATTAACCGTTTAAAGACTCAACTCAATAAAGACACACATTTTCTATATTTTCAAAAGCTTTTTTATTTTGTTATCCTTTTAGAGTTTCGAAAAGAGTACTCGTCTGTCATATACATATGGCTGACTCATTTTTACTGTTAAAGCATTTTGGCAATAAAGTATAGTTTAAGAGATTCAGTATTTTGTATCAAAGTCAAAATACCACTTTTTGCTATTTTACTACCCTAGTGATTAGCACCCAACAGGCTCCAGTCATTATTGAGGCCCACATGAAAGATTGGGAAACCAAATGTGTAGCCTCAGTAAATAAAGACTTTATATAGAAGAATATAAGCTTCATTTCTGAGGTACAAAGTGCCTTTAAAATAAATCTCTTAAGAAATGAAGAAGTGTAAAATAATAACAATTTTCAGGAAAATACTATGTTTAAGGGATTTATTCTGGAAAGGCACGAGTATCGGACCTGGGATGAAAATATATGACCAGATTGAAATAAAACCTGTGTTCATCTTAAAAGTGTCAAAAACCAAAAAAAAAAAAAAATTGTAAAAAATGACCCCCTTTAAAATATACTATAAGTTAAGAGAAGGCCGGAAACTCCAGATTCGAGCCTACGAGCAAGGGATTCATTTCCCGAGCCGTTGTGAAAACAATTGGCCAGACAATTAAAAAAGACTTTTATCACTATTTCACGTTTGTATTAAGCTTCCAAATGAGACCGACCCCAAGTCTCTAGCCCTTCCCGTTCATGAAATATCTATCGGGAAACGAGCGAATTCGTGCTAAAAATCCTTGGTAGACAGAATTGCGGCACAACGATTCGGTACGTAAACATAGACTAATACATGTTTGTCAGCTGAGTACGGGTCAAAATCACTTGAATTTACTAAATAATATTACTAAATACATTAAGTTGGACCACACACACCCGTCAGTAGCATCTGATACACGTAAAATTCGAATTTCAAACCTTTCCACGGTATTTAGATTCCTTTCAACGCCATTGTCAATCAGCTGTTCGATATTTTGTAACGAGTCTTCTGATTGGCCAATAGCAACGAAACCGCAAACGTTTCACACAAGGATGCATAATGGCGTAGAAAGCGATTGAAAGACCGTGTAAATGTTTGAAACTCGAATCTCGTGTGTATCAGGTGCTACTGACGCTTGTGAGTGGTCCAACTTAATGTATTTAGTAATATTATTTAGTAAATTCAAGTGATTTTGACCCGTACTCAGCTGACAAACATGTATTAGTCTATGTTTACGTACCGAATCGTTGTGCCGCAATTCTGTCTACCAAGGATTTTTAGCACGAATTCGCTCGTTTCCCGATAGATATTTCATGAACGGGAAGGGCTAGAGACTGACTTGGGGTCGGTCTCATTTGGAAGCTTAATACAAACGTGAAATAGTGATAAAAGTCTTTTTTAATTGTCTGGTCAATTGTTTTCACAACGGCTCGGGAAATGAATCCCTTGCTCGTAGGCTCGAATCTGGAGTTTCCGGCCCTCTCTTATAGTATATTTTAAAGGGGGTCATTATTTACATTTTTTTTTTTTTTTTGGTTTTTGACACTTTTAAGATGAACACAGGTTTTATTATCAATCTGGTCATATTTTTTCATCCCAGGTCCGATACTCGTGCCTGTGGATTTATTCTGGAAATATTAATGCCAAAATTATGAACCTTGCAACATATGATGTGAGTGATGATAAGAAAAAATAATTTGAAATTTGAAGTAGATCCCTTCAGAAAAAAGTTATAGTGCACAAAAATTTTAACCAGAAGCCTGGATGAAAACACAGCAGTTGTACATAATCTTCGTAATGTCAGACTAAAATATGCAGATACACTTGCATATGTTTAAAAACGTAAAAAATATTCTTTCTTTTTTTGTCAAATGAAAGTTTTATTTATTTATTTATTTATTCATTTTTTTAATCCACGATATGTCATGCTACATGACACTATTCCACGTTAGCTACCATTTTACATAACATGAATAAGGGGCGTCCGTGACCGAGTGGTTAAGGTCATTGACTTCAAACCACTTGCCCCTCACCGCTGTGGGTTCGAATCCAGACAGGGACTTTGGATTATTTCATGCTCGGAAAACTATCCAGAATTATAGCTTAGAACGTTTAGGTGGTCTTACTCGGGGCCCTTTTTGTGCCTTAAGATAATGCACGAAGGCATCCGAGTCTTCTCCACAGTAACAACCCTTTGGACGTCGCGATATGACCTATACTGTGTCGATGTGACGTAAAACCCAAAAAAGTGTAAATGAGGTTTTTAACTTTATATCGCTTTTCTTTAATAAATCTCTAAAAAGATATTTCATATTTAAAGGAGACTAATTTGTCAAATTATCACCAAATGTCAAAATAGTGTAAAACGGCGTTTTCAAAAGTAAAATTTTATACTACGTAAGAAAGAAATACGGTTCGTGGACAGACAGTAAATATGTACAGTTTATTCAAATTAGGCGTTTATGTATAATACAATCATAATTTAGCTTGCGTGATTGTGCATATTTTGGTGTTAATGTTTTGTATATAATGTGACAAGTCATTGTAAAGTTGTTTTACCGAAATATTGTCTGTCGCGTGAGAAAACACTCAGAAAAGGCTCAGAAAATTGCTAGATTTAGTACTGTGAACGTCAGTGTTTTTTTTCGGTGACATGTACTGTTTTGCAACTAATTATATACACATTTATATACATTTACACGCACCAGGGACATGGCTTATAGTAAATAAATAATTCGATTATAAGTGTGAATAAATAATACATGTATAATCCAATAAAACAAGAAATATGATGCACGTTATTTTTATAATATTGTAATAAGGTCATGACCTATATTCATGATAAAACAAAATGTGAAAGATTTTTATATCGCGTTAAAATGCAAAAAATAGTGACGGCTTAATATGAATGAAACATTCATTCATCAATTTTGTGCAACTACTGCTGAATGAAAAACTAAATATGAGCAGGCTGTCAAATAAACAAGACATTATAACCCCAGGCGTTATTGCGCATGCGTTGACATAAACTGCAAGATGACTTGCAAATTATGACAATGCACTTTAATGAAGAACAGAACATAACTTTATTCATTTATTCATGGTTACGTCGGGCGAATACAGGACTGCAGGAATGCAAGAAATAAACTGGTACTTCGTCCAGTTTAAATTCGAGCGTCTCATGTTAACACAATTTTAAAACATGTATTCATTTACTTGTCCGTATAAAATGCTTTTGAAAATGAGAGAATCATTGTATTTTAAACAAAACATGAGAGAACTTAAGTTTAACAGGTAACATATACACTATGCTTAAAGCAAACGAAAACACATTGTAATTAATTCAACTTTTATAGATAAAAAGATAAGGCGCCCGGAAAAAAATGGAGCAATATTTGTGTTAATGGATTTGAATCATTTACCTTAAAAGAACCCCCACCCTCTTGTCATTTGAAGTATACAAAAAATAACACAAGCAAAGATCTCCCGCAAGCATACAATACGTATGTCTAACAGTGTTGAACATTTGTACAAAGTTATATAACAGTCCCTATAGATATGTGCAAGGTCCAATATGGACAAGTGTTTTCCTCTTTGACTTTGAGACCTGTTTCATATGCGCAACACTTGTCTCATGACGAAGAAAATCTAAGTTAAGTCATTCTAAGCTTCTTTCATACAAGGTGTTCTTTGGAAAAAAATATTTATTTTTGATAATCTTTATTGCATATATTGACCTGAATTATGTTGATGATACTCTAACTCATGATCGTATATATATTCCGCTCTCAATTTGTTTTTTTATCTGAACTTTGACCTCTTTGTTTAACCTTCATCTTCACCAAGGGGGGGGGGGGTAAATTTTCTGTGCACACACCACCTTACAATGGTGAACATTTGTGCAAATCTACGTACACGTTTTGCTACGGACAAGTGTGTTCCTTAAAGATCTAAGTGTGACCATAGCATTGAACCTAGATATTCTAGTTCATGAATGTTTCTTGGACGCCGCCCGCCCACTGGCCCACCAAGTGCGATCCCTTTTTAGTTGGGTTTTTTAAACGGGCGTATAAAAAGTAATGCTTGGAGTTTTGACATAAATAAATACTACAACTGAATCATAAAGTCTGAAAGCTTCGGTACTCAGCCCAACTCAGAGCCAAGTCAAATCTTTTACGAGCAACCACATAGACATATTGTAGAGCTGATAAGAAAATACAAATTCTGTGAAGAATTCATATCTATACGTCGTTACGGAGGGATACTTGATGGTATTTATAGTTAGATAAAATATAGTTTAAAATAATTACCTACTGCGATGAAACCAAATATCCTCCGGAAAAAATCAAGTATCTCGAAGAAAAAGTGCACTTGATTGGTGTAATTTTCACAAAATTAAGAATAATTTCGCTGGTGAAGGATCTCCTTTATCTTCTTATTTATCCTGCAGCAATTGTAACCTGCCAGTGTAAAAAGTATGTTAATATGTAAAAGATGTGCAGTTTTAAACGAACTATTTTACATGTCGACAAACAGAAAGCCACTCTCTGAACTTTACATTTTTATTTCTAAGTATAAAGATCCGTTAGAAACTTTAAAGTTTCGAACAATATGTCCTTGATGATAATAAGGGGCGTGAGACTGTCACATTACAATATGTATCATAAACAGATTTTTTTAATATTCTCATTTCTCAATATTCTTAATATTCTTAAATCATGATATACGCAACAGCATACCCAAATTTCTCATCAGACATTTATAAGATTCATAATCTATTGAGAACGACAGAAGAAGAAAAAAGAACGACAGAATAATCTATTGACATAGCCAGTAGGGCTGTTTCAAGCTCATAACCAGGTTGTCCGATCCCCGTAAGCACCAATCGCAACTGTTGGACACTTTCCGTCAAACTTCGGGTAAGGCTCTCGTAACAAATAGTCTTAAAAATGCTGGGGAGTTTTGCTATTTATCCAATAAATATCCTAAAAGTAAATTAAATTTTAGTAATAAAGTAAACAGTAAAAATTTTATACTTATAAACGGCTGTGAAACCCAAATACAAAAATTCTAAACTAAATTTTTTTTTTTTCTAAAACTACATCGGGGGGGTATTTTTTTTAAAATTTATATGATTTCAGACTTTTTATAATAAATTTTTAAAGAAATGGACTTTTTTTTCCTTTGTTTTTAAAATTTTAAATTTGAACCCACGTTGAAAAACTTTTATCCGATTAAGTCCGAGTTATTTGAATAATAGCCCTGGGTGCCGTTTGGGTAACAAAATTTTGATTCCAAAAACGGGTACTCTAAAACCCTTAAACCGTTGAAACGAAGAAGTTGTTTTTGCTTGCGCCTATTGTGGAATGTTCATTGTTAAAGTTATTTTTTGTAATCCGAGAAAATAAATACTGCATAGTAAGGTTAGTCAAGCTGAACAGTCGCCATTCAATGGGATGGTACTAAATGTTGTACATAGTCGATAAAAAATTTATTGCCACTTTTTGGTCGAGGGAATCTAAAAGTCGACACATCAAAAACTATCAAATCATAAAATAAAGCCAAAGTAATTGAGAAGTTTATGAACTGATATATGTTTTATGGTGTATGAGATACTTTTATCATAGATTGGGTGACCTATCAGTGGAGAAAAGAAATCCAAGCAATAATCTAAAATAGCATGCTATTTTATAACCATGAAACAAAAAGGAAGCATGACTTGGGTATAATGAATAAAGAATGCATAATCTGTTGGTTTCGGTCATGGGATGGTCCAAATTACAAAACATTTACAGGGATTCCGCTTAACTATTTAATTATAACTACGGGTAAAAAGTCAACTTTAACTCAAACGTAATACCAAGATTAAAGCTATGAACATGAATGGCGGAACTAGTACGCGTTTGTAAATATATCTAAAAGATGAACACCGAGCTATCTTATTAACATAAAAAAGGTCGTTAGAGCATACCAAACTAAGTTAATATTCAGAACATTCTTTTTACTACATTTAAAATTTGTCTTCAAATGACAGTTTCATATAACAAGATACATAGATTAAACAGTGTTCGTGTTTTAAATCGATCAAAATGTATTTATAGATCATCTGTATTCGTGCAATATACGGGTATGTCCTGGCTGTCAGCATGTATTCTGTTTTCGTTATTATTTCTGCTTAACAGATAAATACCTGGTAGCTGACCCTTATCTGACTCGACACTAATTTTATCAATGAAAACATACATCATTAACTTCCGGAAAACAATGAATACACAACATACCTTAGCTGGGAGAGTACGTATTTAAAATAAATATTTCCCAATAATTCAGGCTGAGTCATTTTAAAACTTCACAAAAGTATTTCAGCATAAAGTATCGCTAAAATCCACCAAAAACAAGAGAGCACAATATCTATAGGCACACTTAATTTCGCTGAAATAACCTAATATTATCCGAAGAAAACTTGTTAAAGAAAAACGTCTGTGTAAATATTGAGCAATATAATTTTCACACGCGCAAAGTTTGTAAGACATTTACTGCATACCGGTATATATCGCTGATAAAACAGGTTTTCTGAAGCGAAACCTGTACGCAAAACCGTATGCTGTTTTCTTCCACGGAAGAAAAATAAAACCGTGTTAAGGTGTTTGTATTCCCGAAATCTCAACTTTCAAAACGTCATCATTGTTTTGTGAGAATTATCAGCGTCAGGAAACTACTGTATATAAAAAAGTTCTTTACTGTAAAATTCGTGAGAATTATCAGTTTCGTGAGAATAATGAGCATTAGGAAAGTACTGTATATGCAAAAAGTATTTTACTGTTTCGTGAGAATTATCGGTTTCGTGAGAATTATCACCATAAGGAAACTACTGTATATTAAAAAGTACTTAATTGTTTCATAAGAATTATCAGTTTCGTGAGAATTACCACGTCATGAAACTACTGTATATATAAAAAAGTACTTTACTGTTTCGTGAGAATTATCAGTTTCGTGAGAATTACCAGTATCATGAAACAACTTCATATAAAAAAGTACTTTGGACATAATACATGTAGTTACCATAAAAGAACAGGATAAGTATACAACAACTTTTGACCACAAGAATAAACACAATGGCCAGCATTTTTATTTTTTCTTCAATGTGGTTTCGATTCGCCCAAAATGATTCTTTCGAGTCACGCGGAGAACAGAATGATAATGAGTGTGTTTTGTTACAAGTTTTACAGCACTTATAGGCTGACTCAAATGAATAAATAAATTTAAAAAAAAACGAGCTAGAGGGACGTGAGGGTCTTGGATCGCTCAAGTGAGTCATGAGTAATGTCATAAATTTGTTTGAAAACTTGTTCTTTACATTTTCTTTATTCTTTTAGCTTTGGTGGTCGTCTTGTTGATGTCCGAAACGATTTTTTTCATATCAAAAGCCAAGTGACATTCTAGAAAAGTTTTATCAAACTTTTTAATAAAGTTTGACAAACATTTAAGAGATATATGTCATAAAAGCTTATTTCTGTTTTAAGATCTGGCCCCGTGTTCACAAAGATTTAAGGATCAGGATCAAATCTAAAAACTCAAATATTCTCCATTGTTTATCCTCATAGATTAAATATTTAATATTAAAATGATAAAACAGGACTTGAAATAGCATGTTTATGAAATTTTAGAATAAATATATTGTTATTTTTGCAAGATATGGACAATTTACAGTTGATCCAAATATTGATCTTGATCCTAAAATTGATCCTTATTTTGATCCGATTATTTTTGTATTTGTTTTAATATTCATCAATTTTATCCCAAAATAGGTTTGTTTCTTTGCAAATCAGCAATTGTTTACATTTTGAATATGTACCATTTAATTCTAGCAAAATATGATCAATATTAGTTATATAAAATAAAGAAAAGAAAATCAGAATCACTTGATCTTGACCCTGATCTTTTCTTAGTGAACACGGGGCCTGGTGATCATCTTGTTAAACTTTAACAATTTTAAGTTTTACAGTACCACTCAAAGATCACCGGTGCAAAGATCGTTAAAATCAATTTTATTAGAACCCTGGATTTGTTGAGTTTTAAAGGATTCCTATTTTCAACTCTGGTGGACATATTGTTCAGCGATCCAGAACTATTTTTGTGCAGGACTACCAAGGACCGAGTCTTCCTAATGCAAGGGATATGCCATCTTACCTTGTTTATATTTTTATATCACACCGGTCAGAATGATTTTAGCTTCTTCTTTTTTGAAATGCAATACAGTTTCATCAAAATCCGCCATGCATTTGAGGAGGATATATTAAAAGTCTTGTAGATACAATCTAAAGCATAGAAATACCATACATAACACTTTTTTTTCTGTTTTAGTACGCATGACACGTGACTTCTTCTAAGTATAATATAAATAAATAAATAAATAAATAAATTATCGTAGTCTTGTGACATAACATTTGAATTCCGGTTCCAGTTTCGCAATGCATTTATGTTAATATCCTTCACATTCATTTTCATATTAAGTGGCGTGCAAGGTAAGCATATACCTTAACTTATATTTTATGCATTCCGGTTTATCTTTACTGTAATGTTTATGTCAATTTAATTACATAAATGCACAACATGTTGTTTAAAAACATAAATCTATTCACGTTTTGGTTATCTTATCGTCATGTGGAATAAGTGCTTGATATCGTCTGTTCATCAGACGAGAACAATTACACAAATTCTAAGAAGATCTCCCGATAAGAAACATACATTAAGTACATCAGGACCCTGAGTACATGTAGGACCAATTTTCCTTAATCCATATCTAGCATTGTTTTCGATACTAGCCAAGATTCATAAATCCAAATCTAACATTGTTTTCGAAACTATATGTTTAAAGAAGACAACTTTACCCACTCCCACCCGAGATAAAGTCTAGGATTATATAATCGTGCAATTTCAAATCTTCTGTGTTTTGATTTTATAGAGGTTTATGCCAGCCAATGACAATGCTCAAAAAATAAATCAACACGGTGCGTCTTTAGTACATCGAGAAAAACGCCAGATCTTTTAAAATGATATATAACATCAGAAACGATATGGGTTGTTATATAACAGGCATTAGAGCTCATTTGTCTTGTCAGTAATGTTAAAATTATCATAAAATAATCTCTCGTTGATCATCAAAATCCAGTCCCTGTTAAACTACATGATTAAATACAAAGAATATTACTCATAGTAGCGTATTTTCCCGACATAGTCACAATTTTGTTCCCGCAATTTTTATTATTATTATTATTATTATTATTATTATTATTATCATCATTATTATTATCATTATAATTATTATTATTATATTATTATTATTATTATTATTATTATTATTACAATTTTACAAAAAGGCATATTTTTATATGATCTTTACGTACAAGACACCAATTCATCTGTCAATATTTGAAAAGTTATGGTACATGCACATGGAAATCTATTGTTAAAGGCACATTGTTCCTCAGAAACAAATCATGTTTTACTGCTTTGGCAATTAAGGGCAAACATGAATTTTATTATAATTTAAATTGAATTTAAATAATGGTTTTAGAGAGTGTTGGATGCCTGCCGCTTGAAGAAAATAACGCTTAATAAATGTGAAATTATTTGTCATAAAAGCAGCAAAATGTAAACAAAGTAGTATTTTGACTTCCATACAAAATACTAAATCACTATAAATGTACTAATTGCCAAAATGCAACAGATGAAAGAGATGGTTAAGTTTTGGAAGCTATAACAGCACAACATTTAGAAAAATAAGAATAAAGCATTTCTGGGGCATAATGAGCCTTTAATGTTGATAAATGCCACTGGGGTCAATGTCCAAGGAAATGTCATATAGTCTGGCATTCTTTTAACTCGTTGGGAATTTCTAAATATTTCAGACCATTATAGACACTGAACTGATAGGAGGCAAAGAATAGAGACTACAC